GGGGGGGCGGGGATTAAGGATGGTGTGCTACAGCAGAATCTTCTGAGGTTCTGTGTGGCTAACATTCTTCCCTTCCGTTCCCCGAAATCATGCCATTGCCCGTGTGCTTTTTGCCCAGGGGTGGTCTGCTGTCAAAGGGATCCGGGCTGCAATAAGCAGGCAAAATTACAGGCATTTTAAAGCTGTAATTCATAGTATGCTAATAGCCACTCCTTAGCATGAGCCCGTCCACTTTCTTTTCCTTATTGCCTGTTACGTCTCTGTGTGAACTTGGTACTCCGGTGGACTGCATCAATATTGCTAGTTCCCAACGTCATACCTGCCTGCATGCCTTAGCTTTTATTTGTTCCTCTGCTTAAGTAAAATGTTCCCTTTTTCTCTCCCTTCCCAGATGCTGCTTGTCAAAATCCTACTCCTACGAAACTCATCTCAGTGCCTCCTACTGAGGCATTTTTCAGTCGCCCCAAAACTAATGGAAACTTAAACTTTTGAATCTCAATTATGCTACCTCTTTTAATGTGATTACTCTATTCTGCCTAAAATTATACCCATTTGTATGCTTGCCCACCCTACTACTTTTCCTCACTGCCTTAGAAGATCCTTGAGAGCAGCAAAAACTATTTCTAACCCCTGTGGGTATCTGTCTCTTCAAGTATTGGACATAAACATTGCATACTATAGAACTCAATATAAATGTATCCAATTAATGTTTTGAAAAAGGTTCTTTTATCTTTTCAATCTGCCGTTTAAATTATAAGAACTTCAATGCCGGAACCAGAAACACCACAGCTCTGTTCAAATGTATGTTAACACAGCTTTTATAGGCTTGATGTGGAAAGGAAAAGTCACTTTTTCATTTTTATAAGAGAAGTTTCACATATAATAGTTGGTATTTTTATATAAGCAGGGACATTTATTTATACAGTAGAATTTCATCAAAGTATAAAGTCTTTCCACTTGATGGAATGATAGAAAGCCTATATAGTCACATTAGTATGAAGCATATATTTTTATGTGTCCGAGGATTTTTTTAAAATACCATTTATTACTAATTTTGTCATAGGTGACATTTTATAATTTCCCCAGTACTATGGAAATATTCCCACATGTCTGGGATTAGATCTTCCCATAAATAATAAATAAATTCAATATTATATCTATCAATTTTTCTACCGTAAAATTATTCCCAAAACAACAGGACGATGCTGCAATGACTGATTACCCCAAGCCATGCTTTCAAAATTGCCATATCGTTGTTATAATTAAGACCACACTGGGGCTTATCTGCACGAGTATCTTGACATCAGACCAAAACTGCTGATGTGGCTTTAATGTGGATTGGGGCAAGAAAATAAATAGCCTTTATGTCTGTAAACTTAACAGCCATCTTGCTGTTCCATGACACGTTACGCTGATGTTGTAGAAGTTTTTCTCCTACCAGATCTTCCAAAACCAACGAGTCAATTCCAACGTCAAAAACAATTCAAGAGTTTTAGAATCACAGTTTAAACAGTATACGTACGCCCACAGTGAAAATGAGGTAAATAAATGCTTTTTTCGTAAAAGACCAATAATTTTACTATTAAATATAAAGGTATGGTTAAAATGGTTACATAAAATGTATATATTTAATGTCTGTAATTAGGTGTTTGTCTTAGAGATAAGATTGGATGAATCTAGAGCCTCAGGGAATGGGTTATAAGAGTGCTCATTTACTTCTCCCCGATCCAATTAGTATGCTTTAGAATCCATTCCTAGTCAAATCCTAAACTTTTCAGAGGCTGCCAGGGTCACTGAGCTGTGTGATGGAAGGCAGGCTATCATCTGTGACAGATGTTTGCACCATCATGAATCAGGGGACTTTAATGAAATGCTGCTTAATGCAGGTTATTCTGATGTTGATCCCATGTTCAACACTGTATAAATGATTCTGAATTGCAGTTAAATTCTCATAGACACTGCCTACCAATTTATTCGCTGAATTAGAGGGATGTACTTAATCATAAGTGAAGCGATAAAGATCATCTCAGGGTATGGTTTTGTTTATGACTTTTACCCATATCTCAAATTTTGGGGCCATCTTCCATGTGAGGATCACTAGCTATTGAATCACCTTTTCTTATTTAACAACCAGGTATTTTCTTTTTTTCTTTTAGATTTTATTTATTTGAGAGAGAGAGAAAGTAGAGGGAGGGGCAGAGGGAGAGAGAAAGAACCCTCAGGCAGACTCCCTGATGAGCATGGAGGCTGACTCGGGGCTCCAAGATCATGGACCCCGAGATCATGACCTGAGCCAGAATCAAGAGTCAGGCACCCAACTGACAGGCACGCAGGTGCCCCAACAACCAAGTATTTTCTGTTCTTAAATTCAAAAGGCTACTAGGTTCAAACAGATTAAATCCAAAGGCTACATAAATTCAAATAGATTAAATTATCAATAAAATAAACTATAAATTCCTCCTACTCAGTTTTAAACAATATAAAGCTTTTTATTTTTGTAATTGGCATTATAAATAGCATAGTGGTAAGAAACTGGGCTCCATAAATTCTGAGCTATTACCATTACATCATCTAAGCTGTATTGGCTCATCCACTTTATCATTTTTAACTTGTAAGGCAGTTTGGGGTATAAAATGAGGTCCCCCCTACAAAGTACTTATAAGGGCTAGCACATAAAAAATGGTTCCATAATGACAACTTCACACCATATTCTATTGATTAAAAGACGCGTCCCTTTTACCTTTTATCATCTCTGTAGTTATTGCATCTTACAATAGATGCGTCTTAAAGTCACGGCAGCCAGATAGCAATAACTTCGCTGCCATTGCTAGTACCTGTTCCTGGTGGCAATAGCGAGTCCATGATATTTCTGCCAAAAATAAACAAAAACAGCTAAGAAACAGTCCTCAGTTGCTTGCTGAAGTCTTTTGTTGACATCTTCTGGTGCAATTAAGAATGCACCAGCATCAAAACTTAGACATGGGTACCAGTATCCTGGAAGAAAGCCCCAGAGACAATAGGGAATATTAAAAAAAAAAAAAAAATCCTGCATCATCAACATTTTTGATACCAGAGGGATGACTCTGTATAGGAGGGCAAACTTTGATGAGTGTGGGTTAAAAAGTGGCTCAGAAGATTCAGACTCTGAATGTAAAGGACATTTAGGAATGTCTTCCCTTTTAATGTGTGCAATTGAGTGATATATATTTTTAAAACCATGTAAATAAATCCTACAAATCTATTTCAGTAAGCATACAGTAAAAATTAAGATTGATAAGGAAGCAGTGTATCACAGTTTAACTTGTAGCCATTGCTCTTTCTTTGACACACAAAATGATAATATATCTTAACAGCCAATGACATCCTAGTTTGGAAGAAACATGGTATTATCATTACTACATGGCTTTTCCAGTAGCACTATGGAAGATCAGACAGCATCAGTTGATTTTAAACCCCTGTTTCTAATCACCCTAAAGCCTAATACATTAAAATATGCCTTACTTCAAACCATGTATTTAAGATTTTCAATTTGGGGGCTAACATTTGAAAACACACTGGGTTTTCTCCATCCACAGAATCTCAATCCCCATGTTTCCATTAGTGAGCAATCCCTAGGCTCCATTTGTACCTCATTTTCTACTTCTTTGGAGGATAATGGCCTCTGTCTTTGAGGTCCTCCATAGTCCCCCAAAACAAATATGCATACTACATAGCTTAAATTTTAAGCCGGAGGGTGCCAAAAGATATAAGATAAATATGTAATTTGCCTTCCTAGCAGTGTGCTGGTCACACGGTATGTGCTACCACATGGCAGGTATCATTGTTATTGTTAATTCCAAAGAGGAAAGAATGGTAAGTTTCCTGTTGGCACCATATCTAACCCTCTTACGTTGTCCATTTTTACAGGTGGAGCTCAATGTCCAAATAGCAGTGCTTTGCAAGAGGTGCGCAGCTGTAATGAGCATCCTTGTACTGTGTACCACTGGCAAACTGGTCCCTGGGGCCAGTGCATCGAGGACACTTCAGTATCATCCTTCAACACAACCACAACTTGGAATGGGGAGGCCTCTTGCTCTGTTGGCATGCAGACAAGAAAAGTCATCTGTGTGCGGGTCAATGTGGGCCAAGTAGGACCCAAAAAGTAAGGGCTTTAGAATGAGAACAGTAAATCCTGTGGTCAACCATGCAGGGGATTGGCTCAGGCTTCACTTGCTTCATGAAATGAAGCATTTTGATGTTTGTCACAGCTGTCCTCAAGAGTAAGACTTGTTTGTTTTGAATGTCAGCCGCTGATAAAGTTGTAACTGTGCCGGAGTCTTGTACCTGGGATCTATAAATTCTGTAGAAATATTTCTATGTGGTACCCACTTTCAGTTTTACAGTAGCCCTCCCTCCTTTTATTAAGCTAGTGAGGCTGTGAAAGGAATGCTTGCTCTGGGCCTGGCTGATCAATAATGACAGTAGATGAAGTCCTAGCAGTGCAGGTCATCCATGACCTCCTATGTACCCGTAGGCTATCAAGTCTGCCAATCGAGTTTAATTGGGCTCTAGCCTTCTATGATCTGCCTTTCATTTCCCCTAGAAAATACTATATCAAAAATACTGAGGCCAAACTTATTACATCTTTTAATGGTTAAATGAATAAGCCATTTACTTCCAAGAGAGAGCCTTGGGATAGGATGAGTGTTATGATAAGTAGAAAAATCATCAGTTTCTCACTGTGGTTACAAATAGTGTAATAACAAGGCAAACGATTTGCTAGAGGGGAGGACAAAGAACCAGAAAGTTGGCATATTATACATGCCCTGTGAGAAATATAAACGAAAACATGTCAGGGCATAACTGAACTAATCAATTCTTCGAGAAAATTAATAAATCAGCTCCAAAAACGTATTCCTTTAAGGGGGGAAAAAAAACACTTTTATCTTTTGAGATACAGACAGCATAAATCTTTTAGAATTCAAATCTCCTTAGCCATGTGAAACATGGAAAGTCAAACCAGTCAGTTTTGCATTGGTATAAAAACGGCCTGGTAATTTCCAAATACTAGGCCAGGTGCTTCAATATTATGTGTGACCTTAAGCATGCTCCTTAACCGATTCTGGCCTTAGTTTTCAAAGTTTATTGAAAGGATTTAATAAAAAAAAAAATAATACAAGCACTCAATAAATCTGGGAGAGTATTATTTTCTCTTAAAAATTTGAGATCCTTCCTAGTGTTTCAGGGAAATGATAATAATGTACCTGATGTATGGAAAACTTCAGGGGATAAATAATAATCCCATTAGGAGTTGTTTTTACGTGGCCAGGGTTCCAGACATTAAGGATATTTTGCCCCATACTTCATTTGATTATATAGTTTGAAATTCTGAAACATTAGAAAATATATGCCAGAAGACTTGAATAAATTGAGAAACTATTCCACATCCTGAATAGGTAGCCCCAAACCACTATTTTAAGAGAAATAATGCTAAAGTTGGAAACAATGTAACACAGGAAGTTAATGTGCAGTGTATTAAAAGTCTCTGGCAATAACAGTAGGGGCTGAAGTGCCAAGTCCTGGAAGATTCTGGGTCTTGCTGGGACAAGCATGCAGGTAGAAATATTCCCTGCAGAGGATTATAACCTGACCAAACTGGCACAGGATTGAGGGTTATTATGCTGAGCTGCTACAAGTGAGCTCAGTCTGTTCCTGATCCTCAGTTATCACCTACAAATACCGCTGTTGATATTTTCCACACTTTTCCAAGTTACAGACTGTTTTTGCTAAGCAATAGGTATACATGTGTATAAACCTATGTGTGAAAGAGCCTGATGGATTAATGTCATTAAATCATTCAATAGGAAGGGTATCCTGAAGCCCTATGTCAAGCCACCACAATAATCCATTAAAAATTTGCTTTGCCCTTACAGCCTTTATTCAACGACCTGGATACGTGTATAGATTTGTCAAATTAAATGGATTTACTTTGCCATTAAAGTTCTGAAAAATTAAGCAAATATTGTGAAACCAGAAGAAGGTGTTGTTACTGCCCTTATCCCTAAAAGCTAGGTTAAATTCAGCGAATGCTTTTCAGTGCTAGGCATTTGAAACAAAAATGCAAATAGAAACATTGTTTTAAACTCCTCTTAATAAAACAGATTACTGTGCAATGGTAAAATCAATGTTATTGATCTTATCTATCCTCCGAGTAACAAACTTCAACTCCTATCACATCTGTTTAATTTGACCTTGAATAAGATTTGGGGGGAAATCAATTCCTTGATTTAAACCACAAACACTAAATAGAAACACTACAAAGGAGAAAAGAAGCATGTTGACTGAACCAATTGCTTCACCAAAGGAAGTCTGAATTCATTTTATTGGATGTAATCTAGGCTGTATAATTTATCTTTGTGTGTTCATTTAACGGCTTTGTTGTTAGTAATTTTGTTCTCCACAGCTAGCCAAGTATCTTGCCGTGGATATTTCTAAACTAAAACAGAGTTTTGGAGGTTGTCAACGATAACATTGTAAATTCCATTGATTTATAAAGGGCTAAAATTTGAAGAGCTTGCTATGAATGCTCTCCCATTATTAAAGTTGTAAAATTGCTTCATTGAAAAGTAGTGCCTGCAATAATAATAACTAATCAATAATTCCATAATTCCAAAAGAATTAACAGTATTATATGTGGGGTTTGCCATACAATGTTTCCTGGCTAAGAATACAGGTTAAATTATAATTCTAGTTATTTATAAGTTCAGTTGTAACAATTCATAACTTCTGTGACTCACATCTAAATTTCTTTGTGGTCCTAGCAATTAGGAAAATCCAAGGTTATCCTCAACATAAACCAGGGAGGGTTGCCTGGGTGGCTCAGTCATTGAGCATCTGCCTTCGGCTCGGGTCATGATCCCAGGGTCTTGGGATCGAGCCCTGCATCGGGCTTCCTGCTCAGCGGGAAGCCTGCTTCTCCCTTTCCCACTCCCCCTGCTTGTGTTCCCTCTCTTGCTGTCTCTCTCTCTCTGTCAAATTAATTAATTAATTAATTAATTAAAATCTTTAATAGGATAGTAACTCTTCTTTTAAAAAAAACCATAAACCAGGGTGATGATTTCTTTTTGAAATCTTGAGTCCAATATATTTTTCAAATCCACTTCCAAATAAACTCTAGTGATACAGAGTGAGAGAGGAAAGCATGTATCTGTATACTTGAATAGAACCTAATATTTATGTATGAGATGGAACATGTAGATAAATAAGTGTAATACAAGTTATATAAGAAGTGAAGTGTCAGCAAAGTGTTACAAAGAAATTATGGAAAGGAGATTAATGATGTTGATTTTTTTTTTTTCACTCATAGTTCAGTTGTGAAAACCTGATTAATTTACTTGTTAAAAGACAATTTATCCTGACCTACAGAAAATTTGGCTTCTCCCATTGGGAGTATTTTTAAATCCCATTTTTCACTAATTTGCCAAGTTATTCCAGCAACTAATAATACTAGTGGTTTGGTTTATTTCTTCACTGCCTCTTAGCTTCCTTGTCAGAGATTTATATGACCTCAAAAGAGAACTCCTTAGGAATCAGAACAATAAGTTACTTTTAGTTATATGAATTAGGCCATATGAATTATGTTTTGTTGTCCTTAATATACATCCTCTTCTAGTGTTAATGCTAGTGGTCAGTATTTGACCACTAGCAATAGTAGAATCAGATCTTGAAGATACAGGGAAGAATTAGGAAACTTAAAAATCACTTAAGTATACAATCAATAAGACAGTATACTTAAAACTCTTACATCAGCTTCCTATAGTTACCTTTTAAAAAGTAAAAACTCTTGTATAAAGTAAGACATTTGTGTTTTCTCATTATCTTTCTCTTGTGTTCCTAATAAATAATAGATGTTTGCTGTATTTTTGAAAATAATTAGTTTTACTATAATTTGTCAAAAACACAGTATTTTATTTTTCTTTGAATTACTGGTTGACAATTTTTGTTTTAATTATATTCACTCTTTTTGTCCCCAAAATATTTTAATTTATGAATATACTTAAAATCCCATAATTGGGATAATTTGAAACTGGGGACAGCATGGAAGAAAAAAATAAGAATAGAGACACTAAATGAAACCATGAGTAAAGCAAAAAATTGCTTATCATAATGCTCTATATACTTTCATTATTTTGTTATTTATTAAGAAATATACAGCTATAAATATAGTCCTCTTTGAGCATGTACTGTGTATTGGATATACTCCATTATAAATTTATTTTATGCCACACATATTTTGTAAAAATAAAGTGTAGAATAATCTGGAAACTTATAATCAGCAACAAGCCTATTTATTTATACAAAGATGCAGAATTTGTCCTTAAATTAGTAATTTGAATTTCCACAAATTTCTTATAGAGCAAGTTAGAAAATATGTATTTATTAATGGAGAGATTTTTATAAGGGGATAAGGTATAATTATTACATTTTGTTCTAGTAGCACAATTACTATTATTAAATTTACACATCCTGCCTTGAGAAGCTTTATTGAGGTCTAGTTTGGAAGAATTAATTTAGTTGTAAAATTCTTAGCAAAAACAAACAGGCTCCTGGAAGTTAAATAATACAGGTTGGTGACTGTTTAGCAGTTTTAGTAATGAAAGATTTAAAGGTACTAAATTACCTGGTTTTTTGGGTTACCAAAGAGGCAAAGTAATTTCCCTTTGCATTTTCTAGGTGTCCTGAAAGCCTTCGACCTGAAACAGTGAGACCCTGTCTGCTTCCTTGTAGGAAGGACTGTATTGTGACACCATATAGTGACTGGACATCATGCCCCTCCTCATGTAAAGAAGGTATGAGCTACAGAGTTCTGAAGGCTACTCACCTAGAAAACACTCACCAGGCAGGACCTCCAAGTTCTTCTGGCTGAGCATGTTTGTGATTCTTACATGGGGCTGGGTAATCCTGGTTTGTCGTGCATGCCATAAAATTCTAGTTTCCTTCTAGAAAATAACACAGTTTTAAAGAACCAAACAAATGAGTTTTAAGCCAAAAACTGATTTAAGACTATATGATGTAGATCAAAATGAATGGATTCTAGACTTTATTATATTAATAAGGTTTCCTTTAACATTAATTCTAAAAGAATGTATAGTGTCCCTGTGTATTTCAAAAAGAATGTACAGCAATCTTATCAGTACTCATGGCTTCCAGCCCTCTTACTGGAAAGAAATAGATAGCCATGGGCCCAGATTCACCATAGATTCAATTATGCAGCCCCCAAGGCTGGGAATAAAGGAAAGAGAAAAATGGCCGGATTGTACCTCTTCCAATACTTAGGTGCCATGAGGCATTTGCAGGATGAGGATTTGTTCCCAGTTTGGTTTGGTTTTGCTCTTATTACTTACAAAGACTCTTTAATATCATGGCAGACACTTTGATAATTCTTTACCCTCCAGGATGGGGTCCTTTCTCATTGCTGCTGAGAAAGATATCAGTATCCTCCAGGTAACTTATGCAATACCTGAGCAAATTTTCTCTCAGTGTCACGGGTGATGCTGTCTCTTTTTTTTTTTTTTTTATTTTACTCTCCCAGCAAATACAGATAGCTTTTCTTAAATTTTTTTATGCTTTTATTTTATTTATGCTTCTGGACTCTTACTAAAGAGATTCAATTAAGAATCAACTTCTAGGGGGGCCGGGGTGGCCCAGTTGGTTAAGCATCTGACTCTTGATTTGGGCTCTGGTCATGATCGCAGGGTCATGAGATCAAGCCCCATGTCCGTGTTCCACACTCAGTGCAGAGCTGCTTGAGGTTCTCTCTCCCTCTGTCCTTTCCCCCATTTACTCTTTCTCTCTAAACAAGTGAAATCATTTTAAAAAAAGAAGAAGAAGAATCAATTTCTAGATTAACAACCATTTTAAATTGCCAAAAATTATTTAAATCCTTAAGATATTATATGTCCTTTCCCCCATTTACTCTTTCTCTCTAAACAAGTGAAATCATTTTAAAAAAAGAAGAAGAAGAATCAATTTCTAGATTAACAACTATTTTAAATTGCCAAAAATTATTTAAATCCTTAAGATATTATATGTCCTTTCCCCCATTTACTCTTTCTCTCTAAACAAGTGAAATCATTTTATTTA